CCTGGGATCTGCCCTAAGTTCTTGGGCTGTGCAGGAAGGCCTGGTGATCCCAACCCTAGACCCCTGTCCCCCACCCCCAGTTTCCTTCCGGATCCTATTGTTCTCCAAACACCTGGCCTGAAGCCCAGCCTTGGAGGAGCTAAAGGGGGGCGGTGGCTGCCATAGTGTCCGAGGAAGGAATCTAGGACCCAAAGCCTGGGTCTTCTCTCTTCCAGATTGGAGTGTGTGAAGCAGGGCCCAGGAGGGGCGGGGCTCTGCGCTCCGAGGTAAAAGGTGGGGCTGGAGTAAGTGTCCCCGACCTCCACCCAGAGCCCAAAGGCCTCCTGCACCCATCACTGTCCCTAATCGACCTCCACCCACAACCCACAGGCACATTTCTCGATCAGTTCGGTGGGGAGGGGGGAGTCAGGAAGTGAAACCAGCCTAGAAACAGAAAATGAAACCAAAGCAGGTAGAGGATAGAGGAGAAGGTGTAACCATGCCTCAACTGGGAGGAGAGCTAGGGCCTGGCCCAGAGGGTAAGGGATGAGGGGCGGCTGTCCTGTGTCCTCCTTGCCCCCTCAGATCTGGCAGACCTAGGCTCCAGTCTTACCAACTGACTATGGGCTCAGGTAAGTCTCCTCTTCTCTGGGCCTTAGCTTCCTTTTCCTTCTCTTTAGTCAGGGGATGGGGTGGGTTCAGTTGTCTCTAAGGTGTCTGCCTCCCAGACCTGACATTCCCTGTTCTAAGGTCCCTCTGAGCTCTGACATTCCCTGTTCTAAGGTCTGTCCCAGCCCTGACATTCCCTGTTCTAAGGTCCCTCTGAACTCTGACATTCCCTGTTCTAAGGGCCCTCCCAGGTCTGACATTGCCTATGCTAAGGTCTCTCCCAGCCCTGACATTCTCTGTTCTAAGGGTCCTCCCAGCCCTGACATTCCCTGTTCTAAGGTCTCTCCCAGCCCTGACACTCCATGTTCTAAGGGCCCTCCCAGGTCTGACATTCCATGTTCTAAGCCCCAGCCCCATCCCCAGTTCTTGATATTTCCTGTCCTAAGGGCACTTCCATAGAGGACATTTCATGTTCTAAGGTCATTACCAGCTCAGATATTATCTGGGTCTAACATTCTATGACATCAAAGTCAGGATGTCCCTGGATCTCCAAGCATTCTCCTGAAGGCCTGGCACACTCCCCAGGGTTGGGCCCCTTCCCCCCTCTCACTTCCCTGGCTCTTTCTCCCATTTCATGGAGGCTCCCCCTCCCCATATTCTCTGCCTCCTGGGGCAGTAATCTGAGTGAGGGAATAGGTGTTTCAAAGGGGAGGCAGAGTTCAGCTGGCAGGGAGAGAGGACAGAACCAAAGGGAGAAAAGGAGACCTCTCCCCAGGCACACTCAGGCACATGCACACGCACGAACACACACACACCCCCCACACATTCACACACACATACACATATACATGCACATACCACACACACATATATACACTCACACACACACCCCACATATTCACACACACATACACATATACATGCACACGCCACACACACATATATACACATTCACACACACACACCTCTACACACATTCACACACACACACATATTCACACACACATACCCATATACATGTACACACCACACACACATATATACACATTCACACACACACACACACATTCACACACACACACATACACATATACATACACACACCACACACATATATATATATACACACTCCCACACATGTGACCTCATGTCCCTAAGCCTCCAGAACCCAGCTCCGGTTTCCAGTTTCCACTAAACCACAGGCAGGGGGAGGGGGGTTTGACCAGAGCCTGTCAGTGCCCAGCCCCCCTCTCTCAACATCTGGGCTCACACCTGCCCATCCTCCCTGCCCCCCCCACACACACCTGGCTTGCCTGGCCCCTTCCCATCTAGTACACCCTCCAACTCCCTCCCCCAGAAAACAACTTGTGAAGACACGCAGAAGTTTCCCGGGGCTCTCTCCACCTACCCGGGTTTGAAGCCCTTGGGTGCCCCCACCCAGATGTTGGCCCCCAGCGCCTTCCAAGGAAAGAGCCCTGTCCTGGGGGTCAGGAGAGCTGGGTTCAAGCTCCGCTCCGGCCCCGTGCCGGCGTGACCTGGGCCTCTCTGGGGCTCGGGGTTGGCGTCCTCAGTGGGGTGGCCGTCGGCGGTGACACCCCTCGGCTCCAGGAACCCCCGGGCGCCCCCCTTCCCTGGTCCGAGCTCCCTTCCCCAGCCTGCAGCCCCACACCTTCTGGTCCACGATGGAGCACGCCAGCTGCTTGACGTGGGCCAGGTCTGAGGCGGCGGGCAGCAGCACGAACTCGCGGGTCAGCCCGATCTGGATGTGGAAGGAGACCCCGCCGGAGCCCGGGGCCAGCAGCAGGAGGGGCGTCTGCTGCTGCTGCGGCGGCAGCGGCTGCGACAGCTCGGGTCCCGCGTGGGCTGGGGGCGGCGACCCCGGCCCGGGGGAGTGCGGGAGCCCAGTGGGAGAGGAGGAGGAGGAGGCGGGGGCGGCCATCGGGGGGGCTACGGGGTGGCGCCCGGCCGCCTCACGCCCTCATCCACCCGCGATCGTGGGAAGGGGTCGCGTGGACTGGGGCAGAGAGGTGCACCCTTGAGTCGGGATTCCTCGCGCCTGGAGGATCAGCCGGCTCGGGAGGAGAGGGATGGGACCCGGGGGACCCGGGGACGGAAAGGTCCAGACACCCCGCGGGGCCCCCACGCGGGCAGAGAGGATCAGACCCTGGGGGACCTGGGGAAGTCGGGGGGGGGGGGCCGCGGGGGTTACCGGGCGGGCTCGGGCTCGGCGGGCCGGGGTCGCGGTCGCCACGGGCGGGCGGGGGTCGCAGGGCTCCTTTCCCGCCCCCGCCCCCCGCGCTGGGAACTTTGTAACTCTGCAGCGGCGGCCCAGGAGGAAGTGTCCTGACCGACGGCGCGGGCAGCCAATCAGCGCGGCCTACGGTGACGTCAGGGAGGCAGGAGGGGGGGCAGGACCCAGGAGCTGGGGGGGCGGGGACCCCGCGGCCCCCAATACTCCGGCTGGGGCTCCAGGGGCGGGCCGGCCTGGGGAAGCGCGGGAAGCCCTCTCCCTAGGCCCAGAGAGTGGAGCGGGGGGGGGGGGGGGGGGCAGGCCGACTCCTCCCCCACACCCCAGCCCCGCCCCGCCCAGGTCCCGGAAACAAACTTTCCTCAGCGCTGCGCGGAACCCCCACGCGTGGGCCCTGGCCCGCCCAGGCTACACCCCCCGCCCCGGGTTCCAGGCCTCGCGCCCCCGGGCTCCAAGCTCCAGGATGCCCTGGAGGTGGCTACCCTGGGATGGTGGGGAGGATGCCCGTGGGGCCCTGGATAACCCCAGTGCGGGGGGCTTGGAGAGGTGGGGGGGCCCCAGGCCATTGTCCTGGGCCCCGAGATCCTCCGGCTCAACTTGTAAGAGGCGGTGGGAGGCCAGGAAGTCTTGCCTAGCGAACCCAGCGCTAGAGCGAAAGTGCCCCCCCGCCTTCCCGGGAGGTTGGAGGTGCTCAAGGGATGAGAGGGTCCTCAGAGGATGGGGGGTTGGGGTCAGGGGGCATTGACGCTGAAGGAGTAGGAGGTGGGATGGATGGCTGTCCTAAGTCTTCTTAACCTCTCTGTGCCTCAGTTTTCTCATCTGTAAAATGAGGATTATAGCGCCTACCTCATAGGACTGGTGAGCATGGTAATAAAGGTACGGCCTTTCTCGAACCCTACAGACCTGAATTAAAAGCACCCTCGATCTTTCTCTCCCTCCCCCCCAAAAAGAAGTGGTCTTTTCTTCCTCTGAGACAGAAAGCCCCTGGCCCGGGGTCCCAGCGAACCAGGTGTGGGCCCCTCCGCGGGTGCACAGCCCTCGGTGCCTCCGGCACTGTTCTCAGGGCCAGTCAGTCCAACTTTGGGACGTGACATAGTCTGACATGAAAGCAGTTTCACGTCTCTCCCGGCTGCGGAGCTGAAGGTTCTGAAGACCTCCCCTTTCTCACATGTCACACTTCAAAGGGTCTTCTTTCTAGCTCTGGTGTCTGTCCATACTAAGCATCAGGCGAGGACCCAGAAAGGGGTCACTGCAGCCTGCCCTGACGGGGCTTCCTAAAGGACCCGATTACTGTAATGACCTCCCATAAAAAAGTGCTGGAACAAGGTCTGGAGAGGGGCTGAGGGGGAACAAGGCTGCCCCCCCCCCCTTTATCCTTAGGAACTCTGAGATGGGCTGGCTACACAGACAGTAGTTGTGGCTGTTTATAGACCACATCCGGGGGCTGGGGCTAAGGGAAGGAAGTCTAAGGCTTCAAGCTGAAACCCAAACCACCACGCTGGGGGGGGGGGGGGGTTGCGTCATGAGCTCCATGTGTACAACCATGGAAGTGTGGTTGTGGATGGCCAGTCCGGTTCTGAGGCCTAATCAAGTCCAAGGGCTCTACCCCAACCCACCCCAAAGTGACCTCAAATCTCCATGTTGTTCATGAAATTCTCCCAGATAGAGGCTCCACCCTCCCCGTAGCAGCTACCCTGGGGGACACGACGAAGCATACCACATTTCTGGCCAGGATCCAAATCCAATTCTACCCCCGCCTTTAGATTTGCTTTCTACCTGGACAATGAGAGACTAGATGGCACCTAAGATAACCGTGGGTCCTCTGTCCCCTACAGACTGTCAGCTGCCCCAGGCCAGAAACAGTCTCCAGCAGGCCTTGGAGCACAGCAGCCAGAATGCTGGCTGCAAGAACTGGGTAGGCAGTCTGATGAGAAGTGACTGCTCCCCCAGCTCTGGGAGGAGAAATGGTCCCAGAGGGCCAGGGGAGGCAAGGGAGATATGGTTCCCTGACTTCACTTCCTGCACCCCACCCTCCCCCAAGTTACAAACACCTCCCTCCAGGTCCACCTTCTCCCTTTCACTGAAGGCCTAGCCCTCACAGAGGGGGCCCCTCCCCTCCCAAAATCCCAGAGAGCTCCCACTCCCAACTCCAAACGACAGCCAGTCTTATTCCAAAGGTTTTATTGAGGCAGGTTTTCACATACAATTGGGAGAAGGCAGGAAGAGGAGTGGGCCAAGGATGGGCCAAAGATTGGGGTAGGGCTGAAATTGAGAGTGAAATAAATATACAAAGAAAAGCTTAGGAACCCTGACTAGGGACAGGGGACAGACCAACAGACTATCACACAGTGATAACAACCAAAGGAGGGCATCTGGGGAGAAGCGGGGAGGGGATGTCTGGGCTTCCATTTAAAATTGTATTGATTTATACAGAATATACAGTGTGAAAAAGGGGTGAGAGGGGGAAAGAAGGGATTCAACACCTCCACCCCAATGTTCCTCCCTAGAGCCAACGAGCCATCCCTCTCCTCCCCATCAACCCCTGGCACCGAGGGGGCCTCCTTCCCTCCCGGCCCCCTCCCTGTCTAGGCAAAAATAGTCCCCTGGGCAGTTATGCTTCTGGGGTAGGGGAGGAGCTAGTGTCTGTAGAGTGAGTGAGTGTGAGAGTGTGAATGTGTATGTGTGTGTGAGTGTGAATGTGAGTGTGAATGTGTGAGTGTGTGTGCGTGTGAGTGTAGCTAGTGTCTGCAGTGTGTCTCTTTGTGTTTCTACACCTTGGAGAAATGGACTGGGCAGCCCAAGGGGCAAGCTGTGGTGACCCAAGATATGACCCTGGTGCCCCCAACCCTCAGTCTAAATCCCCCATTCCTTCCTCCAAACTGTCCACAGACCCAGGGAGTATTCCCACGTGCCCCCCCAGAGCACCGTCTTGACTCCTCTGGTCCATCTCCACTGCCTCACAAGAGGGGACAATGAGGCAGACGGAGGGTCCCAAGATAGCGGGAGCTGCACCTCCCAGCATCACACCCCTATTACTGGACTTGAGTCCAGTAGAGAGGGGAGAAAAGGAACAGATTCCTGAAGGGGTAGGGAAGCGTCAGGTCCCTACTGGCTGGAGAGAATGGCTCCCCTCTTCGACCCCCAGAAATGGGGAAGGTGACAGAGGAGAGGGCCAGCCCCACAGGCTGCTAGCACCATGAGGCTCAGGGAGCGGAGGCATCGCGCTCCCCCAGACTAGACGTGGAGCAGAGAAAATCACCGGCTGAAAAAGAGGAGACACATGGTCGGGCAGAGCTCACAGGTAATCTACACTCCCCGCCAGCCACACAGGCACACTTTAGGACCAAAGAAACCTTTGGGTTTTTTTGTTTGTTTTTACCAAAAGATGCCAAATTGGGCCAGCTAGGTGGCACAGTGGACAGAGCACTGGCCCTGAAGAAAGGAGGACCTGAGTTCAAATCCAAACTCTGACACTTACTAGCTGTGTGACCTCGGGCAAGTCACTTAACCCTGACTGCCTCCCAAAAGAAGATACCAAATCCATTGCAATGATCCAGGCAAGTGGCAAGAGGGAGAACCAAAGAAATCTTAAACGCACCCACTCCCCGTACTGACAGGGACCTGAAGCCCAGGGATGTAGCACTGCCCAAAATCACATAGAAAGGGTGCGAAGCCACTCACAGCAGCTCTACTGACTCACCTCTGCGAGGGCCCTGCCCCACCCCACCCTTCCTCGGGGAAGAGGGGGGAGGTGGCAGGGCTTGACACGGGGCGTCATACAAACACTTTGGCCAACGCATCGGCCCCAGCGCTTGCGATGAGCGCCTTGCTGGGATGGCAGGCCACAGCATGAATGGCTTCCTCATGTTTCTTACGATGTGCTGTGATCTCCTGCACGCACGTCTTATTGTCCAAGCTCCAGAGGCGGAGGGAGCAGTCGTGGCCTGGAGGGGAAGGAGCCATTTACCAGCGTTTTAGCCTCCTTTCTGCCTCCCCGTGACCCAAAGCACAGTGCTGGCCTCATCCCCGGCCAGACCTTAACGGACCCAATCCTATTTAACAATTTAACAATGGCCCTGAGAGCAAAGGCCTATGGGAAGTCACAGCCAGAGCTGGGGCTGGAGCAAGGGACCCCCCTCCTCAGTGCCATCCAGTCCCCACAGTCGCTCCTGCCTTGCTGACATTCCCCACTCCTGACCTTCCTGGGACCCAGCTCCAGCCTCCTTCCTTTTTAATTTTGCTCAGGGCCTTTCCTAATTCCATTAGACCAAATCCTTCTGCCCTGCACCAGCACCAGCACCGCCTCCCCTGACTCTGTTCTACTTAGCAAGCCTTATCTCTATGCCCAAAATGAGCCCCCCTTTCTTGGGCAGGCTGCTTTCACTGCTCCCATAGAGCCTGCTGTCCTGCTCCCTAGGACAGGGAGGATCTGGGGGGCAGGGACTTACTTCCGGACATCAGGAACACCCCATTTGGGTCAACAGCCAAGCAGGTCACGGCATCGAGGTGAGCAACCATGGAATGCACAGATTTACCTGTCCAGGTAAGACAGCAGGTTCAAGTATGGGTCTGCTCCCTGTAGACCTTCGCCCCAGGGTTCATGGCTCAGCTCCCCATCCGTATACCTATCTCAGGGTCAGGCTGGGAAAATGAGCAATCGGGACAGGGACACACGCTATCTGCTCCTACCTGTTCGATTGTCCAGAAATCGGATGCCTCTGTCATCATGGGCAGTGATGGTAAGGGGCTGGTTAGGGTGGCTCACCACCTGGTTGATCTGTGTGGAGCCTAAAAGGAGTAGAATGAGTGAAAAGAAAAAAAAAACAAAAACAAAAGCCGGGATTAGAGAGAAGCCAATTACACTCATCCATATCTATATTCTGCCACTTCCAAGCATTTTAGCCTCAGTTTTCCCCAATCTGTAAAATGGGAAGTCTGGACAGATTCTAAGGTGGTCTTTAGTTCTGAGATTCCCCAGTTCCCCGGTCCCATCCAGAATCTCTAAAACGGAGCAAGCGCAGCGGCTAAATGTGGAGTCCCATTCAGTCTAAGCAGCAGGCTTGGAATCCAGCTCCAGACACTTCCAGACACTGAGGATTACTGCAGGCACATCGCTTGGCCTGCCTCAGTTTCCCCATCTGTCAAATGGGGATAAGAACAGTACCTTCCTCCCAGGGGGAGGGTTTCATCCAATAAATAAAATATGGAAAGCACATGGCAGATACTCGACTCGGATTGTTTTCTATCTGAGAATCCCTCTCAGCTGCACTTTCCTGTGACTCTGCTCAGTGAGGTCTGCCCCTGCCAAAGACAAGGGCCTGACCCCCCCTTTCCCACCTCCATCTCTCCTCAGGGACTCCTGCTTACCACTGCTCCCTCGGGACTCCAGTGTGAGAAGGGCACTGCCAGTCTCCAAGTTGTAGAGGACCGTGTCACCTGAGCGGAAGGAAGCCACAGCCTGGGCTGGCTCTGTGCTGGTGAAGGCCACGGAGGTGGGGATCCCATGTTCTGTTCAGGGCGAGAGGGAGATAGCTGTGAGACACCCCCTCCCACCCCACCCCTGGCATGGCATGGCAGCGGCCCTGAGGGCACAGGGTGTGAAGCCAGGCTCAAGCCCCTGGAGAACAAGAAAGCAGAAAGGACGAGCTTGTTCTGTCTGCCTCAATAGGGAGGGAAGCAAGAGACAGACTGAGGCTGGATAGCAGGAGCCAATCACCTCTAAGGTCCCTCTGATCGGAGGTTTAGTTCCCCAGGGATCTCCCTTTCCCCCCATTTCCAACCCCACTAACCGCCAGCTGTGTGGAAAGTGCACAGGCAAGTGGGGCTGTTTCCACTGGGGTCCCAGATACGAATGGTGCCATCCGCAGAACAGGAGGCCAGACGGCGCGAAGTAGGGCTGAAGGCGAGGCCCCACACGGCATCCCCGTGGCCCTCCAGGACACTGCTCAGCACGCCAGGGTCTGGGCCCAACCCACAAGGAGAAAATGCCAACTGTCAGAAGGACCCAAGGCTGGACTCCCCTCTGCTCCTCCCAATCAGCGATGGAGGACTCTGGCTGACAGGGGGAGACAGGGGAAGGTCCCTGAGGGTCGCACGTCCTGGGCTGAGCAGGCAGAGCCACCTACTGCCACTGCCTATAGCATATGACATCACTCTGGCTCAGCCTCCAAACCCTCAGAGACAGAATGGCACACATCAGGGGCCTCGCTAATCTTAACTGGAGTGGGTCACCAGGTAGGGGTTTTGGGGACGCCCTGTGCCCTGCGGGAGGGCTGCCCTCACCATAGCCATCATACGGGTCCATATTGAGGTCCGGGATCCTCCAGCAGTGGATTCGGGCATCTGCTCCCCCGCTATAGCAGTGCTCGCTCTGAGTGCCCATGGCCACTGCCAACACAGGGCCCCTGGAGGGGGAGGGACAGCAAGAAATGAGCAGGGACCCCCTGCCGGGCCACCCTCAGAGGCAAGGTACCGAGCCCCGTCACAGACACAAGGTCAGGCCTGTGTTTCCAGAGTTCCCCTACCCGGGCCCTCCAGGGACACATCCTATCACGTCCCTATGGCACGCCACTCTAGTCTGCAGTGACCGTGGCCAAGGCATGTCCTCTGAACTCTGGCACTATGAGCATGGGCTCTACTCGCCTGGCCAACTTCTCAATACAGAGTGCCTACTGTGCGCCAGCTGCCAGGCTAAACACTTTACAAACGCTCTCTCATTTGACCCTCCCAACAACCTTGGGGCAAGGGCAGGCAGCCCCACGTGCAGAGACTTGCCCAGAGGGTCTGAGGCTGGGCTTGATCTCGGGGCTGCCTGACTTCAGGCCAGCGCTCCCCCAGCAGCCTCACAGCAAACATGCTTTGAAACATTTTGAAGACCTGGGCTTTCAAAGTGGGGGGAGGAAGGGGAAGCTAGGTGGCACAGTGGATAGAGCTCTGGCCTTGGAGTCAGGAAGACCTGAGTTCAAATTCAGTCTCAGATACTTAACACTTACTAGCTGTGTGACCCTGGGCAAGTCACTTAACCCCGACTGCCTCACCAACCCGCCCCCAAAAAAAGGGGGGAGGAGAAGCTGCCCTTTGCCCACCTGTGGGCCCGGAAGGCGTGGATGGGCTCCACATCCAGAGCCGCATTCCTGCACAGAAGAGAGGACATGGGGTGTCAGCGGACAGGTTGCAATGCTCACGATCCCCCCTCCCAGGACCCCTCCACACCCCTCCTGGGGCCCTCACTTCTTGGCTGTCACTGTCTTCTGCAGGTTCCAAAGCTTCAGAGTGCCATCCTCTGAGGCAGTGAGCAGGGCCGATTCACTGTGATGGAAGGCCAGCGAGCGGATGCCGTCATAGTGGGAGCGGAGGGTGAATTTGGGGTTCCAGGTCTTCTTGAAGGCATCTTTGCTGTCTGAGAGCTGGGGGGGGAGGGAAGACAGGGCATCTCTCTACGTTGCCCCTCCACACCCTGCCCTTCCACACCTCCAGGGGTATACCCAACAGCTGCAAAGACATCTGAGACCCAGGGAAGTCCCCAGACCCTCCAGGCCAGTCACCCTCCTTGACCTGGTTGGGCTGAGAGAATCCCCCCATCTCAGAGGTCATCCAGTCTGCCCTGCAGGGGTCCTTCACCTTTTCTGTGACATGGACCCCTATGGGGTCCTCCTCAGGTTTTAAAAGAGAGGCTTACAAAGGAAACCACACCCATGGATGTGCATCTGTCTGGGGGGGAAAGGCTGGGGCCCCAAGTGCAGTCTCAGAGGGTGGACAGAAACTTTGAGCTGCTGCTCCGCTGTGGTGGCCCTCCCCACATGGGGCCAGCCTGAGCACAGACACCCCATGGGCTCAAGTCCAAATACTGTTCAGACTCCCCCAAACTCAAATGACCCAGCAGACTCAGTACCCCCAGCAGCCACACCACAAGCATGGGTCACCATGCCCCTGGGAAACCAATTCTATTGAAACAATTATCAAGGCCTTTCCGAATCAAACTCATGGACCAGAGGGTAAGACTCCACCCTCCCTAAGCATCTCTGCCAGGTTTCTCTCTAGAGGTCTTCAGAAACAGGGAGCCCACTCCACTTTGGGCAGTAGGTGTCCTTCGCAATTCCTGCTCACAGCCTGTCTCTGTGTCACTGCAGCCTCATGGGCCCCAGGCTCCTGGCTCACTCTCTCTGCCAGCTACCTGGGTTCGAGCCCTGCGGGCAGCTGAGGATCGTTCTCCTATCCCAAGCTACACTCCCTCCCAACGTTGCTCCACTCCTCACCCACCTTCCCACCCCCCAGGTCCAGGGAAACACTTCTAGGGTCATAAGCCACAGGAATCTTGGGGCCATCTAATCCAGCCCCCTCGTCTTACAGATGACAAAACCGAGACCCAAAAGGAGAAGTGACTTTCCCAGGGTCACATGGATACCAAAAGGCCAGGCACATGTAGACAACTGCCATGGAGGACCAGGTCCCCTCCCTGTTTTAGAATGGGAAAGAGGCCTCCACATCCTGAGTCTGGGGACGTCACATCTGTTAACCCCTGGGCTACCCGGGCAAGGCAGACCCCGCACTCACATCACAGCTGAGGTCGTTGTCGTTGCTGACGGTGAGGTCCGCCAAGTCCCCCAGGCTCACCTCTCCTCCCCCAATCGTGTCCATGATGAAGACGTCAGAGGAGAAGCCAAGGGAACCTGGGAAGCACAGCCGGCTCACAGTGCGGGCCCTGGAGGATACGGGCCGCTCCTGGACTGGGCTGAGGCCTCGAGTCAGGACCGACAGACTCCTCCAGCTGCCTGGTGGCGCCTCGCTGAGCCAACCCCCGGCAAGCACCTCAGATCACTGATTCGCCTGCCTCCGCTGGAAGGCCTCCAAAGACAAGGAGCTCACCACCACCCCAAGCACATCTGATTGCTGAAGGCTCTGATATCAGTTCCAATCCTCCTTAGAATGAGCTGACATCTACCCCCCTCTAAGTCCCTCGCCTGGTGCCAGCCCCAGCCCGTCTCCACAGGCAAGACGGAGGACGCCTGGCTGGCTGGGCCACGGGAGCCCGGGATCCTCACCGTCATGGGGCCGAGGCTGCGGCGTGCCAGGTGGGGGACCGGTCCCTTTGGGGGGCAGCCCGTCAACGTCCCGAAGATCGGCCAGCATGCCCTGCAGCTTCACCCGCCGACTCTCTACCCGGGTGGGAAAAGGAGAACCCCAGAGGGGGTGAGCCGCCAGTCCCCTCAGGGGCTCCTCCTGCCCTCCCTTCGTCCCACTCCAGGGAGGAGGCAGAATGAGCCTCTCTACCCCCTGGGGCCCCTGAGTGGGGCAGGGGCCTGGAGGTCAGTGCCCAGGTGCCCTGCCTCAGCCCACCCTCCCTCTCAGGAAGGCCTGGACCATGGCTCTCTCCCTCCGAGGGCAGAGGTCAAGCCTGCAGGCTTCCTCATGGCCTCCAGAGGGAGGTCCCTTCAGGAAGCCTGTCCACCACGAGCCCGGGGCAGGAAGCAGCCGCAGGCTGGGAGGGAGAGGTGCTGGGAGTGGGCCCCCTCTGCTCACCCAGCTCAGTGCCGTCCCCAGAGCGACGAGAGTCAGCAGGCCCTTCCCCATCCTCCCCGGAGCCCAGAAAGTCAAACTCATTGATGGCATCCTCAGAGTCTTCGTCATCCTCCTCCTCGTCCATTTCTGGGACCAGGGGCTTCGATGATAACTAAAGAAACAGAAGGAGGAAATTGGGGGCTGACACCCAGCCAGGAGCCACCCCTCCACTGCTGATCAAGCAGGTCTTTTGCAAGGCCAGATTCCCCTTGCCAACAAACACTCTGTTACAGACCTACAGCAGCCTCTCCACCACGCCCCTGGTCAGTTCTAATCCTAAGCCTGGCATTCAAGGCCCTTTGGTCTGAACCCACTGAGCCAGCCTCATCTACCTCTGCTCTCACTCAAACACACCGACCACAGAATTAAATAAAAGGCCCCTCAGCTATCTTCTAAGTCAGGCTCCCTCATTATTCCCAAGAAGAAACCATAAACCAGGAAGCAGACCTCATCTGCTCAAGGTCACAAAACTTGTCAGGAGAAAAGCCAAGATTCAAATCCAGGGCCCTGGATCTGGGCAGATAGAAGCACCTGCCATCTCCCTCCTCTTCTCTCATTACCTCCAGCTCTGTGCCCTCAATACGCATAGACTGCTGTCCCTCCCCTCATCTCTCATCACCTCCTGATGTCCCTCCCTCTCTCTGTTTGTCTCTTATCTCCCCAGCCAGTCTCTAAATTCCCTGTATCTTTGAAAGGCCATGCTCATGGTAGACACAGAGCAGGCCAGCCTCCATCGCTCCTGCTATCAGCTGCCAGAGCAGAAGAGGGGTTGGGGAAGAGCCCTTTGCTCCCTATCTCCACCTGCTCAGCAGGAGGCTCGCCTGGCCTGCAGCCCTCCCGGGAGCTTGGCCCAAGGAGCCCCACCTTGACCCGCTGTTTCTTGGGCTGCAAGCTCTCTAGCTCCTCCTCCTCGTCACTGTCTTCATCCTCACAATTCTGCAGGAATGGGATCTTCTCCAACACAGAGCTGCCCAGCCGTTCTGCACCTTCCTTCCCTGCCGCATTCCTGCCCAAGATGTGAAGGGCCAAAGTTGGGGGGAGGGTCCACAGGAGCCCAAGAGATCCACACCAGAGCGGAATCATAGCCTTGGTCCTCATTGAGTGACCTCGGGCTATGACGTCCCCAAACCTGAGCTACGAGGGCCGCCCGGCCCCGCACCCCAGCCACCCAACCACCTCCTGAGCCAGGCCCCATCTTTCTGCCTTTCTGCTGACTGCCCAGAGGCACAGGAGGTACCCTGAGCCTGACTGCTAAAACCCTATTGGGGCACGTTCCAGGGAAAGCGGCCAGCAGGAAGGAACAGTTAGCCCCAGCCAGGCTTGACAATCCTAGGCCCAAGCCTAAAAGCGGTTGCTTTCTGACTTGACTGATGCTGTGAGCAGAGGCCACTCTCTGTATGTTCAATCAACACATATCATGTATGATAAATCCAAAAATTCAAACATGCTCACAGAAACATGTCTACCAGAGATCAAATGAGGTCATATTTTTCAAGTGCACAGCCATGCCTAGCACACAGTAGGTGCTTAATGAATGCTCCCCTCCTATGGGGTGTCAGAAGCTAGGTACAACTAGCCATCAGCTTCGGGAAGCAGAGAACGAATGGGATTCTGGGCTGCTGGATGGGCAGTGATGGGCCCATGCCCAAGTCTAGACAGAAGGGCAGAGCTGGGGGCCCTCACCTCTTGATCTGCTCTTCGATCTGCTTTGCCAGCACCGACTCCCCTACGGGAAGCCCTCCAGGGCTGCTATCACCAGGCTCGGTCGCGCCGTTCAGCTCCACAGAGCGGCCTAGCAGGGAACGCACACGCTTCGAACGCATGTCCAGGATGGTATCTGTGTAGCCCACCTCCTCCAAGTACCTTTGAGGAATGAGGGAAGGAAGATGGTTTGAGGGAAGCTCCTAGAGGGCCCAGAAGCTCTGGACACGAGGCAAAGCCAAGGAAGGGAGGGCAGGTGCCCCTCCTCAGGGAAGGGCGCTGTCCTTCAAACTGGGCACGAGGGAGCTCCCCAGAGGCAAGGGCCACTAACTCCACTCTGCCCCACCCTTTTGGCTCAACAACCTCCCTCAGCCCAAAAGACGGAGCTACTTGGCTTTCAGAGCAGGCTCAGCCCCAGGGATGACGGGTATCACCAAGGATCCCCCAAGCTCTTCCAGAAACGTCATCCCTGCAACCTTCAGAGGCCTTTCGACCGGGCCCAGCACCCCGGGCCCCACGCGACACTTACTGTCGGAGCAGCTGCCGGCCTTCCTTCCACACCAGCTGGCTGCTCTCCAAGGACACCGGCTCCACAGGCCCATTGGGGACTGATCAGAGAGAGAGAGAGAGAGACTAAGGCGACAGCCCTGACAGCAGCCGGGCTACCCACAGGGGTGGAGATTGGGCAGGAGCCCTGCCCCCAGCTACCCCCCAGTCCATCCAGGGGCCGGCTCCTCCCACCTTGCTCCAGCATGTCTGGTTTCTTCTCTCCTGGGTTTGAGTCAGTCCCAAACTTCAGTTTGTGGTACTTGGCTCTGGAAGAAAAGGCAGCTGTCAGTGGAGAACCCCAGTCGCTGACAGAAGCCATTCTACGCAGACTGATGTGCTTTCACTTCTAACATGGCAAATATCCATATGACCCGCATAAACAAAAGCCCTTGGGAACGGTCCTCAATAATTCTGAAGAGTGTAAAGGGGTACTGACACCAAAGAGTTTGAGAATTGCTGGACTCATTCAGACTTGAGAGGGACCACGGAAGAGCTGTCGGGTCAAGCTGCCGGAAGGCAGTCATGAGTGGAAAAAATACCAGACGTAGCGTCTGAGGCCCTGGGCTTGGGATCTGTGTGACCTTGGACAAGTCTCTAGTCTTCTCCAGGCTTTAGTTTCCCACAGAGGACATACAGTCTAGATATGGGGTTTTAAGCTGGGATGCCATGAATTGATTTCAGGGGTTCTATGACCTTGCAGGGAAAAAAGCTTCTATCTTATTTCACTATTTGTCATTTCCTTGATATTTCATTTCCTGTACTTCCAGACGTGACTGTGTGAAGGCATCCGTCCATCCCTGGGCTTCCCCAGGCTGACTGTCCAAGGGGAGCAGGACCCAAAGGAGGTAAAGAGAGCCCAGCATTCATGACAGAGCTGGCGCCAGGACTTCCCCCTGACCTACACTGCCTCCCTGCCTCTCTGTCTGGGCAGGCGACAGCAGGCTCAGCTCCCCCATGCAGCAGCCTCCCTTCCTTCTGGGAAAGCAGGGCTGCTGAGCCTGCCAGGGGGAGTGAGAAGACGCTGGCTTTGCCGGCAAGGCGCCTTGGGGCTCTGGAACCTGGGCAGCTCTCATCCTCTCTCTGAGCCTCAGTTTTCTCCCCTATAAAATGAGGCCTCTAAGGCCCCACCAGCCTCCTGCTCCAGGCTGAGCCACAACTCCCTGCCCTCAAAGCTGCAGCCCCCTGGGCCAGGCCAAAGAGAGCCTGTTGGGAATGCTGGCAGCCCTGTCAGGTGAAGATCCCTTCAGAGACATGATGTGAGGAGGTTGGACCTGGAAGAGAGTTGGCTTCCGAGGGCCACGGGCACCATCTTCACAAAGTGCAAGGGCTGCCACGGCCAAGCTTCATGCTCCAAGGGCACAGCGAGGAGACGTGCTTGACAGTCGTGGAGAGACTGACTTCAGGTCAATGGGAAGAAAACCTTCCTGACAACCAGAAGTGTTCACAGTGACACAGGCTGCCTCAGCGAGTAACAGGCTCCCTGTCTCTGGAGGCCTGGCAACCACTTTTAAGAGACTGATGATGTCGTACAAGGATCCAGAATTGCAAGAGGCCTGAAAAGTCACCTAGTCCAAAGCCTATCACTCTATAAACAAGGAGATGCTACCGCCCACACTGCCACAGGGGAGATGGCTTGCCTGCAGCAAGAGCCAATATTACCAGCTGAGACCCCTGCCCCTCAATGTGTTGGTTCTGGAGCCAGGGGAGGCCTCCCAGCCCCAACACCTAGGGCCTCAATGGCTGTCCCAGGCAGGTCAGCTAGCCTCTGTGGCCCTCAATTTGTTCCCCTGGAAAACAAAGAGCTTGGACCAGAAGGTCTCAAAAGTCCCCCGCAGTTTAAGTGTGATGACCCTGTCGGCACCTGTGGGCCCAATTCTTGTTCCTGTATTTTCATGTGGTTCTGTAACCCTCTAGTTGTTTCATGAGGCAATGTCTGGGCTCCCCAAGTGCAGCATGGCCTTCAATCATCTCTCCTGGTGCCCCTGGCCACAGCTGGGCCAATGGCTTTGGTGCTGCCATTAACTTGGCCAGGCTGTATACATAATGCTCTCCCCAGGAAGCCTCAGACATACTCCTGGCAAAGCCAGCCTATGAGCTGAGCCCGAGACCCTCCCAACCCCCTCCAGCTCTAAGATTTTGCCCAAGAGCCCCAGAGTGGTGGGGCAAAGGGGGGGTAGGGGAAAGCTCACCCACCGTTCCTGCTTCAGTGCGAACTCTAACATTTTGATCCGTCGCACCAGGTCTGTCTTAAGGTTCTCCTGCCCCTTCCTCTCCCCTTGGAGAAAAGCCACCTGGGCCTGAGAGGAGGAAAGAAGGAAAAGAGGGAGGGCCCAGGTTAGGGGATAAGAGACAAAACATACCATGGAATACTCCAGGCTCAAAGCGACATAAGAAAAAGGGTCCTTAATAATCAGAGCTATCCAAAAATGGAATGCCTTACCTGGCAGGAGAGAGAAGAAGGAGCAATGAGTCTCCCATCTCTGGAAGTCTTCAGATGAGAGCCGAGAAGATTCCCGTCTGGTTACCAACCAGCTAAATAACCTCCTCTGGGGTCCTTCTCCCAGGCCCAGACTAGGCTCTCCAGATGACCACAGCCATTCCCCCACTAATCAAGGGCCCAATCTGCTAGGAAGCCCTCAGCCAGGGACAACAGCCATTGGCCTGTATGTCTACTGACTCCTTCAGCAACACTGAGCTGTGCCCAGGACCATCTAAGCTTTACCTGAGGCCCTGTTTCAACAGGACATACCAACTAGAGATGCTCGAGGCGAAGGCTAGATGTGTGATGCTTCCCGGGCCAGGAGTCTTATGATTCCATGACCCCTTCCTTTGGGAGTGAGCTCCACAGTGACCTCTGGCCCAAAGTCCAACTCACTCAGTATCTTCCCTTTCCCACACTGCTCTGCGATGTCTCCTGCCCCACCAGGTTAGGAGGGGACAGCCCCAGGCTAGGCCCTGCTTCCTCCCTCCCCAGAATCCTCACCTCACATTCATCTTCGTACACAAGCTGCCAGATTCACATCCCTAAAATAACACTTTTACTCAGTCACCTTTCATAATCTGCCCTGAACCTGCCCAACCCAAGTTCAGTGTCCACGACCTGCTCAAAGTGGACCACATGCTTCCCCTCCTATGGGCCTCCCAGCCTTCTTTGGGCCTCAATTTTCCCACCTGCAAAATGAGAGGCTTGGACCAGGCATCTCTCTCCGACCTCTTCTAACAGTGCAAAGGTCAAGGGCTCTCTCCACCCACGTGAACCCCCAACTCAAGCTCCCACCTTCTGGGAACCCTGCCTGTGACCACTCCAACTGAGCTTATCCTGATCTCTCCCTAAAATTCCAGGGACCTGAGGGTCTGCACCACTCACAGAGGATCTTGGCTTCTAAGTTCTATCTCTTTACCTGTGAGTACGCCCTGAGAGAGCCCATCTGTAGTCCCCAAAGTGCTGAGCATGGGGCCAGCACCTGCTAAATGCTTAAAACACTGCACCTGGCTGGCGAAAGGGCTCTGCAGGGGGCAGTCCCTCCTCAGGTTCTCCTACTGCCCACTGTCCTCTGGCCCTCTCTCTACTCTAAGTGCCTTCTCCCCTGGCCAGAGCCTCTCAGTCAAGAGCATAGAAGAGAAGAGGAAAGACCCTTGGGGAGGGGCTGTCAGGAAAAATCAACAGAAAAAACCTATAGTGCCTCTCCTGTGGTTTCAAAGTCTCAGCAGGAAAATCTCTTACCAAGTCCTCTTCTTCCTCTTTTCCCTCAACTCAGTCTGTCTGCCCACTCCAAGGATTACTGTTCTATGAGATTCACCTCAGTTCTCAAAGGGGTCAATGAGATCTGCCAGCCAACCAACCACCCCCCCCCCCCCCCCCCCCCCCCCCCCCCCACACTCCCATAGGCACTCAATAAACGATGTTTGTTCCCCACCCCTATGCTGCTAACTTTGGGATTTACAGATTTGGTCAGCTCACAACCTCCAACACTCAACCCACAGCTCGGCGCTGCCTCTCCCATACACACGGTGCACACACGTGCACTCACACCCTCTCTCTGCATGGTCCCAGTTTTCCAGAACTCTTACCCATACTCCCACCCACCCAGTCAGAGCTGAGAAATCTCTCCCACTTCTCTTCCTGCTGTTCATCTCCCTCCTTCCTGACTGAGAGACAACCTGCTGGTTAGTGACTGAACAAGAGCCGGGTGAATGGAGCCCTCGCTGTCTTCATTCACAATGAAACATGGTCACCGCACCACCACCCTCCTCATCCCATGGGCCTTCCCAGCACCTGGAACTGCCTCCTTCCCTCCCCCTTTCCTTCTGACTCTCAAAATCTTCTTTCCTCCAAAATGCAGCTCCACCAACCCTTCCACATGAAGCCTCCCCTCCAAAAACGACCATGTATTTATCCTGCAGATATTTCAGATACACTTATACATATGTGTGCTGTCTCTCCTTGAGGGGCAGCACTTTTATTTTTTTTCCCCCTAGTGCCTGGCACATAGTAGGTGCTTAATGTTTGTTTATTCATTGATCTCCATTTAATAGGAAGAAGAAACGCATCTGGAGATTAACTGAATGCTATTGGTCACAAAGCTAGTGAGTACTAGATTGGGGATTTGAACACAGGTCTCTGGACTCCCTAATTCAGGGCTCCTGCCCCATCACTTTGTCTTTTGAATGGCGACACAACTCCCCTCCTTGGAGACCCCAGAGGCTCTAGGCAGCATTGGTCCGAGGCCCCTGAGGAAAGCCCACACCATTCCTGTGCCCCACAGCCAAACCCTCATGGGATTATTACCTGAGAACTGGAAGAACCCAGGTGACAGGCAGAATGGCCTCACACAGAGAAAGCCCTGGGTTCAAATTCTGCCTCTGACACGTCAGACCCTCTGACCTAGACAAATCACGCCCCCTCCTGCTCTCCATCAATCCTCTCAGATTATAAATTGCCAAGGAAGGGACGGCACTGGCAGTTTTCTCCTCCAGGAGCTCCCTGTCCCAATGAAAGCCCAGGTCCATTCCCTTGCTCTCTGTTCTTAGGGCTCCTAGAGACCAGCTAGTTTGACCTCCTCCTTTTATAATGGAAACTGAGGCTCAGGAGGGGCAAGGAACCTATCCAAGAGTATCTAGCAACCCTGCCATCTTCTCATCTCCCCCAGGCAGCCTGGGCTTGGAGGCAGCACACACCTGGGTGGGTGTTCCTGGAAAAGCCACTACACCCATCTGGATTTCAACCTCCCCCTCTGTAAAATGGACACAATACCAGTAGTATCACTGGAATCACAAGCAACCCGGCTCCATGACTTCAGGTAAGTTGATTCCTCTCTCTGGGCCCCAGGAAATGCATGTGTGCATGTGCGCACACGCACAGACATACACAGTGTCTCTAGAGAGCTTCCCCCAGGAGCTGCTGTGAGCGTCAAACAGCCAAGAGCATGCATCTAAAGCGCTTTACAAACCTGAAGAAAGGTCTCTCTCCTCTCCTTGGCCCAGAGCAGTGGCCAGCACAGACCATCAATAAGAAAGAGCTCAGGGAACTCCTGTGGAAGGACTGACTGGTAGTAATTTCAGCTACAAAATGGGGCCATGGGGTGGGCTCCCCAATGATGACCACTCGCAGAAAGAAGCCTGGCTGGGATTCCTAGCCCTGTCCCTATGTGACCTGGAGGAAATCATGTGACACCTCAGCCTCAGTTTCCTCATCTACAACAAGTAGATAACAAGGTCTTCACCACCCTACAGGAATGGTGAGGACTGCCCAAGGCTCCACATAAATGTTGGCCGCCTGATAGTCTGGGGCCTCTCGCTAGGCACCTGGTAGGCACAGCAACAGTCAGTGAATGAGACTCCCAGCACCTCTTGCTCTGACCCGTTCTTCCCACCTCCTCATCCTCCCTCGGCCACCCCTAGTGCCAGACTCCGGCCCCAGCTCTACCCTGGCCTCCCTGTGCCCAGTGAGTCCGGCAGTGAATGGACACAGAGTGCTCTGTGACCAGACCACCCAGCATCCCCTAACAGGGCCCTCATGCAGGAACAGGGGGCAGAGGGGCCTTCATAAGCTTGGTGGGCCAGCTGGCTTCCCAACCAAGATCGGATGACAAGGGGTGAGGAGAAGCTGCTTCAGGCAGGCACCTCACAAACAGCAGGAGGCAGAAGCAAAGACTCAATGGAGCCCATCAACAGCAGACCCAGGGCATGGGCGAAATGGCCCCCAGTACGCCAACTGTACAACATGAATACAAGTTGAATAGTCACAAAAAAGTGAATTCTGCTCAGGAGCCTCTACATGAAGGAGACAGAACATTTTTCTCTGGGGAAAAAAAAAGTCCACCTAAAATGGTTCAGCTGTCTACACAATTGTTGGGGCTTCAATACTAAGCAGCAGCATTTCTATGGCTGTCTCAGGCTGACAAAGCACTTCACATATACAATCTCATGTGATCCCCCCAACGACTGGGGGGAGGGGCTATTATTCCCATTTTACAGATGAGGCCACTGAGGCAGAGGGCAATGAAATGACTGGCCCAGGGTCACACAGTCAGTGGGTGTCAGATGCCTGATCTGGATTGTGCTGTGCCACCAACAGTTTTTCCCCTGCTCCCCCATTCTTCGGGGCTTCTTGTGACCATACTGCCTCCCCCCAGAATATAAGCTTGTTAAAGGCAGGCGCTGCTTCATCTTTGTTTTCCCGACCCCACCAGTGGCCCAGAGCCTGACAGGAAGCAGGCACCCAAGCCCTCCCAGGACAAACACCTCCTTATCCACGTGCTGGGGGAGGGCCCCATATCCCAAGGCTCCTCATATCCTCCAAGGGACCTCAAAAGACTCTAGTTCAACCCCCTCATTTAAAGATAAGGAAACTGAGGCTCAAGGGGCTGAAGCGATCTGTCCAGAGCCCCAACCTGAACCCAGATCCAACAGTCTTCCCCCATAGCAGGTGGCCAACGATCTATGACAACAGGCTGCTATTACTGGTGTCACCCTCCTCCAAATCTCTGCTTGGGGTCCTACCCTCATTCTCCCTGTATCCACTCCCCAAGCTGCCCTTCCCCAAATTTAGCCCTCTGAATCTCATTCTGGGGGGGCTGTGACCCCAACTTCCCTCATTCCCATGCCACCTCTGCCCCCAGCCCTGCCTGACAGTCTGTCCTTGGCAACACCTTTTCCATTATTCCAGGGGTCCAAGATCAACCAACACCTCCTCCAGTTCTTCTCACTTTCCTATTCTGGCGATTCTCTCTTCCAATTCTGAAAGAAGACCCAGCGTTATGCAGGACGCAAGGATCTTCAATGTGTGCCACCATAAGAGCTGTTGAAAGAATTAGGGATCGTCTTCAAAGGGTCATGAGTGTAATCTTCACAAGGAGGGACTCTGCTCCCCTTGACGCCCCCAGCAATCAGACCTAGGAGGAGGTGGGGGGATAGGCAGCTGCCAAGAAGCGAATTGAGGCTTGATATAAGAGCTGTCCTGACAGAGCCGCCTAAAAGGCGCTATGGACACTTTTAGAGGCACACTGGAAGCACACTCTGGATGCCACTTGTCCAGTTTGGGGTGGGGGCCTTCTATTCCTTATATAGAATTTTTCCTTATCCACATCTAAAACTCATCCTCCTACTCCAGCCCTCCCAACTCCTCCTCCTTCCTGGAGTATCTCTTCCTCCCATTTGGGTGTTGTTTCCTCTCCAAGTCCCCTAAAACCTTTATGGGGGTGGAGGCAGGGGTCACTTTTAACAGTCATCATTGAAGAGGGAAACCCTTCATCCCCACCACCCTTTGTCTCCTTCTCAGGCTTCACCCCGCCCCCCCCCCC